ACCAGTACAAACCAGTACTGACCAGTACAAACCAGTACTGACCAGTACAGACCAGTACTGACCAGTACAGCCCAGTACTGACCAGTACAAACCAGTACAGCCCAGTACAAACCAGTACTGACCAGTACCGACCAGTACTGACCAGTACAGCCCAGCACTGACCAGTACTGACCGGTACTGACCAGTACAAACCAGTACTGACCAGTACTGACCAGTACAAACCAGTACTGACCAGTACAAACCAGTACTGACCAGTACGGACCAGTACAAACCAGTACTGGCCAGTACTGACCAGTACAAACCAGTACTGACCAGTACAAACCAGTACTGACCAGTACTGACCAGTACTGACCAGTACAGACCAGTACTGACCAGTACAAACCAGTACTGACCAGTACTGACCAATACAAACCAGTACTGACCAGTACAAACCAGTACTGACCAGTACAAACCAGTACTGACCAGTACTGACCAGTACTGATCAGTACAGACCAGTACTGACCAGTACAAACCAGTACAGACCAGTACTGACCAGTACAAACCAGTACTGACCAGTACTGACCAATACAAACCAGTACTGACCAGTACAGCCCAGTTCAGCCCAGTACTGACCAGTACAGCCCAGTACAGCCCCGTACAGACCAGTACTGACCAGTACTGACCAGTACAGACCAGTACGGACCAGTACTGACCAGTACAAACCAGTACTGACCAGTACAAACCAGTACTGGCCAGTACAAACTAGTACTGACCAGTACTGACCAGTACAAACCAGTACTGGCCAGTACAAACCAGTACTGACCAGTACAGACCAGTATAAACCAGTACAGTCCAGTACGAACCAGTACAGCCCAGCACTGACCAGTATAAACCAGTATAAACCAGTACTGACCCGTATAGCCCAGTTCTAACCAGTATAAGCCAGTATAAACCAGTATAAACCAGTACTGACCAGTACGGACCAGTACGTTCCAGTACAACCAATAAAGCAATTAATAAATCAATTAATAACCCCAATAAACTGATTAATGACCCAATAAAC